TTTTATCAGGGAGTTGAAGAGAATGATTCAGAGCCAAATCTGTTGTCCCTACAAGGAACTGGATGTGACCTGGAAGGAGAGTCTTCACCAACTCCATCATCCTCTCTTGTTCCGCTATCCAAATTATCATCTGCTCCATCTGGCTGGGAGTTTCTGCCCCCTTCCCTGACTCTGACCTCCACTCCCAGCCTGGAGAGATCATCCTGCAATGCAACGAAGGGGCCGTTGTCATGTTCTACGTCACCCTCAGCTACATGGGCTTCCTGGCTGCCATCTGCTTCACGGTGGCTTTCCTGGCCAGGAACCTGCCTGGGGCCTTCAACGAAGCCAAGCTGATCACCTTCAGCATGCTGGTCTTCTGCAGTGTCTGGGTGACTTTTGTGCCCACCTACCTGAGCACCAAAGGGAAATCCATGGTGGCTGTGCAGGTCTTCTCCATCCTGGCCTCCAGTGCTGGTCTGCTGGGCTGCATCTTCATCCCCAAGTGCTACGTTATCCTTCTGAGGCCAGACCTCAACACAAAGGAGCAGCTCACAGGCAGAACAAATGTAAAAACATGAGATATAACACCATTGTGATATTTCAAGTGTTGTTAAAGTTTCTTTTATTTGAAAAAAGATTTTATTTCCACTTAGGTACTATGCAGGAATTAAAGAAAAAATATATGTATATGTTTCTTGCAGTTCCCTTCCCTTTCATCTCAATAAATCTTACTGAAGAGAACTCTGAGAAGGCCAATGAACCTGACATTGTATAGAAAAATCATTTGAGCCATTGTTTCTACTGACAGAGGGCTAAAAGTGTCTATATGTGGGAGAGAGAAAGAGAGTAGGAAAAGAGATAAGAGGGAAGCTGTGGGAACCAACCTCAAGCATGTTGCATGTTAACCTCCACGAGAACCACTGGAATGCCAGAATGAGCTGAAATGCCATGTTTGACTTTCTCTCAGCTGGGAAGCAAATCTTCATGTGCTGATTTCCTGATAAAACCCTCTTTGCAGAAAGTGTTGACTGCAAATGCCTTCTGGGATTTCACTTTGGAGTTGTTTTTACTTAGTTGTCTACCTCTAAGAACTTCCCACTCTATTTTTTTTTCTTTTGTCATCCAGAGAATTAAAATAGCAACATCCAATGATATTTAGATCCTTTAATTTCCCACTCTACAATTTGTACCTAAAGCATTTCTCTGCTGCTCTTCTGAGCTTGTCTTGTCTGTGAAGGGCTGGACAAGATTTCCAGCAAAAGGGGACTTTCTCTGGAGGAGGTTGAAGGGATCCTGCCTAAAGGCAGCCGTATCATTTAACCAAATGGTCTGGACTTTGGCAAGAAGGTTCAATACTGCATATTTATCCAGGACCAAGAACGGGGCAAATAAGGGTGGGAGCATCTAGGTTACCAGGCATCTGAATCCACGGAAGGTATTCTGCTTTCCAAACACAGAGATTGCTGAGATTCTGATGGCTCAGACCAAGGTCAGTCTAAGTTTCACAGTGACCACACAGATCCCTCTGATTCTCCCACAACCAGAAGGCAGAGACTTATGGCTTTTCCCAAAATGGAACTGGTCTTTTCCCCTAATTTCACTTTCCTCCATCACACCACACAGCCATCTCACACTCTAGGAATCCCCAATTCTGGTATCCCAAATTCATCTGAGAAAAGATTTTTTTTCCAAAGTTCAATCAATCAATAGGTACTGAGTCAGGACTGGAACTCTGAGTCTCCTGGGGAGCGGCCCAAAGAAACCCAGCCAGCTTCCCTGCTGAAGATGGGACTAGAACTCACCAACCCCTGGTGATAAAGCCACCTGACCTGCAATCATGTCTACGACAGAACTAGAACTCGGAGCCTCCTGGACAGTGGCCCCCAACTCACCCAGCCGGCTTCCCTGCCTAAGGTAGGATTAGAACTCCCAGCCCCCTCGAGGAGTGATTGGCGCTTTGATTCCCCCCCCAACACAAAAGGCTCCTTCTGCAGCTGCCCGGCCTCGCCCAGACAGACAGCTGTCACTCAAGCCCGTCCTGCCCCGCTCCCTCGCGCCACGCCCAGGTCAGGCAGTGCCACCCCCGGCAGGCGGGCTACCCGAGCCTCCCCCCCTCCCACTGCCTTGCCTGCGGATGCCCTCCTCGGGGCTGGTCGGAGCCAGAGCGCCTGGAGGGGCTTCCTCTCGTCTGGGTTGCGCGGATCGAGGCTCTGCGGCGCTTCCCTCCCGGGCCGAGCAGGGGCTCCGTCTCCCAGAGGCTGCGGGAGGCGGGCAGGGCTGTCCCGGGAGCTGCGGGGGAGAAGCGGACGGGCTTAAGCCGAGGAAAGAAGCTCCAGGCGGCCTGGCCGTTCTCGGGAGGAGCTGGACGGCCCCCGCGGGGCTCCGGGGAGCCTGGGGGGTTTCTCTCCCTTCCAGGTTGCGACGCGACGGGCCGGGGAGAAACAGCGCCGGCTGCGCGCTTGGCTGCTGGCACTTCGGGGAGGAGAGGAGCAGCCGCATCTCTCGGAATGGGGCGGGGGGGGGAGGAGGTGTCAAAGCCCCCCTTTTATTTTTGCCTGCCTCGGCGGTGCTTTTAAATGCCGCTGCAGACTTGACCTCTCTCCCCTTCCCCTTATCTCAAAGGCTTCCCTTATCCCCCCCCATAAATCGGTCCCCCCCTCTTTTTCCGACCCGGCACTCCAAGGGCGGCGGTCCTTCTGCCTGGCAGCTGCCCGCTGAGGAGTCGGTGGAAGGGCAGCCAAAGGGCCCCGACCGACCCCCTTCTGCCCCTTTCTTGGGCTAAAGATGCCCAGGGGCTCTCGGACCCCCCCCGCCCGCCCCGATCTCCTGCGTCTGGGGAAGTTGTGGGAGTCCCGCTCCTTCTCCTCTCCCCAACTGTAGACAGCAACCTCTGGAGAAGGAGGGGGGGCTCCGCCTGCCTTGCCAGGGAGAATAAAGGACCGGGGGGGGGGGAGCGGAATGTTCCTTTTCTCCGGGCTGAGGTGGGCCCGGTTCCTCCTGAAGGGAAACAATAATAAGGATATAATAAATAATGCTAGGATATGATATACTGGTATACTAGATTCTGTAACTATTAGGTTCTTGTAATACATATATGCCTTTGTATTTGTATCACACATATTATGCCTTTATATTTGTATCTCCTGTAACAAACATATTCTGTTATTAGGCCTGTAATGTATCTGGTATTTGTCAAACATATGTCCCTGCCATTTGACCTGAACCCATCTCAATCTTCTCCCTGTTTTTTTTTCTTGTGCCATCTAAGTGCATGGTACTATCTCAGTCCTAATTTATGTTGATCTGGATAGACTCCTGCTTTCCAGGGCCAGGGGTCCTAAGTGGCCAATTGAGTAAACAAAGAAATGCTCAAGATGACTAATTGGGAAGTCTCTATTCCCCCTTGCAGGGCAACAAGGAATGCAGGGGCCTGGATTGGGAGGCCAGAGTTGGGTACTAAACTGACGTCTCTGAGGGCATAAAAGGATGCCATACCTTCCCCAAGGTGTGGCTATCTCCTCGCATGCATTGTATCTGTATGTTCTGGATATAGTTCCACCCAGTATTTTGTTTTTGGCCATAAATAAAATCTGTTTTTTTGCAAGCCTCATCTCGAGTCTCTCTCTTTGGCATTCTGGTGACTCAAGTGTATTTTGGGACCTTACACTCCCCTTCCAGACCTTCCCCGCCTCCGGTCCCTTGGGGAGCTCCTGGCTGACCAGAGACCCCGCGGCTCCTCCTTGGTGCCAGCGGCGGTTGGGGCCATCGGGTGAGCGAATTGAGGAGGGGAGGCTGCCGCGCAGGATCACGTGGCCTCGGTTTTAGGGTCTCAGGGAGGGAGCAAAGAGGAGCAGGGAGACCCCCAACCCCTCATTTTCCCCCTCCCCCACACAGCCCTCCATCCCCAGGAGGCCTGGTGGGTCAAGGAAGGCCATTCAGATGATCCTCCGGTGCCCGGAGGCTGTGAGGGTCCGGAGGGAGAGGAAGCAGCTCCCCATCGCTTGGAAGGCCGGGCAGAGGACAGGGGAGCACCCCCCTCTCTCTCTCTGAGGGTCCCTGCCCGGCTCCCCAGGCCTCCGGTTCTTCTCCTTCCAATGTTGGCATTCGGGGAGATCCAGCTGCTGCCTCCCCTTTTCCACAGCAGCCCCGCCTCTCCCTCCAGTCTTTTGGGATCTTCCTTGAGGCGGTGCCGGCAGTTTGATGAGATTCTTAAAAGGAAGCGCCTTTTCCTACTGTGAATTCTGAGAATATGCTGGGTGTGTGTGTGTTTGTGTGTAGTTGATTGGCAGCAGAGCGTGGCGTCTCCTCCATGGGAGGGAGGTCGAAGGGGCGACGCAGGTGGAGGCTGCCTTCTGCGGCTCCTCTCCCAAGAGCAGCTTGGGGGGGGTGGGCAGCACGGGGCAAGGGCGTGAAGGTCGGACTGTGTGTGTGTGTGTGTTGCTGGTGTGGCTCCTCACCTGCATTGTGGAAAAGGAAGCCCCACCTGGGTGGCGCCCTCTGCCCCCCTTCTTCCCCTCCCAGAGGGAAACTTTCAGTCCAGGATTGGGAAGATCCAGATCCAGAGAAGGGAAGACGGCGGGATTCACCCATTACTCTTGCTAGTCCATTAGTGGGGAGGGTTGTATCTTGACCACAGGGGGGCAAAGGCGGACGGTTAATCTCTGGGATCAGGGATTGGTCCAGAGCCCCCCAGCTGGTGGGATTCGAACCCGGAATCTCTCCATTCCTAGGCTGCTTCTTGGACCACTGGGCCGCCTCAGGCAGCCTCCGTGCAGGGAGAGTTAGCAGCCCCCCTCCCCTCCCCCAAGCTCCAGGCAGGGTGCCATGGCTTCCCAGGAGGTCTGGCTCTGCCCAGCTAGGGAAGCGCCCAGGAGCAACTGCCGAGTTGGACCCGACCGCCTTCAAGTGCAGCACAGAAGAATCCGACGGAAACGCCTTGAGTGGCAAAGACGGCCTGGACTCCCCGTGGGGGAAGATGGGGGCCCGGGAGAGCCAAAGGGGACACGGAAGACCGACTCTCACTCCGGAGGGAGCCGTGGAGGGCAGCCAAGGGAGCGCAGCCCTGGGGGCAAGAAAGGAGGGAGGGGTGCTTCCGCAGCCACCAGAAGAAGGATCCCATCAATTCAGGGGAAGACCAGGCGGAGCTGCTCGGCTGACGTCACGGCTTTTGGGGGCCACTTTGTCTTCAGTTGCACTCCAGAGGGAACCCCACGCCTTGCAAAGGCCCCAATCCCCCCCCACAGCCTTGTTCGGCAGACCTCTGGAAGCCAGTTGAGAAGGGGCGGGGCTGCTCCTCCCCATCCCCTCCTTTTTCTCTCCTTCCTACTTCTCTTTCTTTCCTCGCTTTCGCTTTCTGGGTCCTTGCCCTGTTGGCCAGAGCTTCCGCCTCACCCACTCCCGTCTTGGCTCCCCCAGGAGCCCAATAATATTGCTCAAATTATAAGATGTTCTTGGGAGTTGCAAAATATTAAATTCCTCTGAATGACTTTCACAGATTTCTGTTTAGCTAGATTTATTGGGATGAATAATGCAATAATTCCAGTCATTCAACCATTTCCCATTTCAAAACATACTATTTAAATTGGAATAATTACTGCCTTCTTTCAAATAAAAGGAACTTTTACCATTCTTTAAATATTCTAATAGATTACATCTCATGTTTTCACATTGATTCTGGCCGTGAGCTGCTCCTTTGTGTTGAGGTCTGGCCTCAGAAGGATAATGTAGCACTTGGGGATGAAGATGCAGCCCAGCAGACCAGCACTGGAGGCCAGGATGGAGAAGACCTGCACAGCCACCATGGATTTCCCTTTGGTGCTCAGGTAGGTGGGCACAAAAGTCACCCAGACACTGCAGAAGACCAGCATGCTGAAGGTGATCAGCTTGGCTTCGTTGAAGGCCCCAGGCAGGTTCCTGGCCAGGAAAGCCACCGTGAAGCAGATGGCAGCCAGGAAGCCCATGTAGCTGAGGGTGACGTAGAACATGACAACAGCCCCTTCGTTGCATTTCAGGATGATCTCTCCAGGCTGGGAGTGGAGGTCAGAGTCAGGGAAGGGGGGAGAAACTCCCAGCCAGATGGAGCAGATGACAAGTTGGACTGCAGAACAAGAGAAGATGATGGAGTTGGCCAAGCTCTTCCCCAACCATCTCTTCACTCGGTTTCCTGGTTTTGTGGCCAGGAAAGCCAGCACCACCGTGATGGTTTTGGCCAAGAGAGAAGAAATGGCAACTGAGAAGATGATGCTGAAGACCGTTTGTCGGAGAAGGCAGGTGGCTTTCCTTGGTTGACCAATGAAGAGAAAAGGAGAGAAGAAACAAAGCAGGAGGGAGACCAGGAGGATGTAGGAGAGGTCCCGGTTGTTGGCTTTGACAAGGGGAGTTTCTCGGTATTTAATGAAGATGATTAAAATAAGGCCTGTAGTTAGGAAGAAGAGTAGGGCAAAAGAGACCAGGATGATGCACAGAAGTTCTTCATAAGACAGGAAGGTTATGACTTTGGGGATACATTGGACTCTGGCCTCATTTGGGTATTTATCATCTGGACACTTGGTGCATTTTTTTGTATCTGAGAAAACAAAAAAGCAACTTTCCTTAATATTCTGTCCTTTTATCTTACTAGAAATGCCTTCTTTTGATAACAGCTGATACCAGCAGCATTTTCCAAGAAGTATTTATTAAAGATTTCATTAAAAAGAGTATAAGAATGATTTTTTTAAAAAATGTAGCCAGATATATTAAATTGAGCGAAGTCCTAGGGTGTTAATTATTTCCAGTGTAACGTGTAGAATCTTCATAGGAACCTATATTATTAGAGGTTAATAATGAATCATATAATCGTTTTAGGCAAACATCCTGAGTCCTGCCACATGGCATTTAATATCCTGGACTTGGAGGATAGCTATAGTATCTTGTAACATCTGGAAGTAACCTGGAATTAAGGAGAAACTTCCTATCAGTGAGAATAATTAACCAGTGGAACAGCTGGCCTCCAGAAGTTTTGGGTGCTTCAACATTGGAGGTTTTTAAGAAGAGACTGGACAGTCACTTGTCTGAAATGGTCTTCTCCTGCTTGAACCGGGGGTAGGACTAGAAGACCTCCAAGGTCCCTTCCAGCTCTATTCTATTCTATTCTGATTGACTGATTGATTGATTGATTGATCTACATGACTGGCAGAATAATTGTGTAATGAGTTCCCCCCATAACTATCCACAGCACCACATTATGGCCCACTGACACCTTCTCAGTGATCATCAAGGGGAGGATCCAATATACAGTGGATTGCAAGGTCTTTCAGAAGGTGGACCTGAAACAATTGATCAAGTTTCAAAGAACTAAGATCTGGGGTGAAATCCAGCAGGTTCTGGAGAACCGATAGCGGAAGTTTTGAGTAGTTTGAAGGACTGGCAAATACCATCTTTGGCTGGTCCCAGAGTGGGTTGGCAATGGAGATTTTGCAATATCCTTCCCCTGCCACGCCCGCCAAGCCATGCCCACAAAACCAGTAGGGAAAAATGTTGCATTTCACCCCTGACTCAGATGTTCCTAGAAAGGTGAACTTAGCAACACTCATCCAAACTAAAAAGCAGAAGAGATATTTCCTCTACTGTTAGTAAAGCTTGCCCAGTCTGCCACCCCCTCCTCCCATCTCTTTCCCAGCTCCTCCTTCCAAGTCTTTTTGATTTACTTCCGTTTAGATAAGAAATTGTGCAGGTTAAAAATAAAAAATCCATGTGAGTTTCAATCTGTCTTTTAACTTCCACTTTTATGAAAATTCTCTGGATGGATCCAGTTCCACAAAGCCTCCCATTTTCCTCAGTGTGACCCACCTTCCTGAGTGGAGAAGGTCCCCTCCGGACAAGGAACGCAGTCGTAGCAGCAAACTGGCTCTCCTTCTCGAGCCCTCTTGACAAATCCAGGATGACAACTTTCCACACATTTGGACTGAGGCAGAGACTGAGCAGAAGAAAAGGAATGCCAAAGAAAATATGTTAAGATCTCTGTCCATGGGAAATGGAGGGAGAAATGGATGGAGACAAGTAGCTTCTGGTCTTCACTGAGGTGAACAGGAAACCTCTGACTACTTCTAAACAGATGCAGGAGGTAAAACAACTGGAAGGTTCTTCATTTAGTTCCTCCCTTTTGCTTTTGGAATTTAACATTACATTAAAGTAATTTTCTATTTAATAAAGTCTAGAGAGATGGAATTGATTTTTTTTAACTATTATGATATATTCTTATTAAAACAAAATTTACCTTAAAAATTTTCGGATAATAATAAAAATCTTATTCCATTAGATTTTATAATGTAGAGTAAAACTATGATGAACAATTTTTAGCAAATACAATTCTAGCTGCTTTCAGTACATTTACAATCAAATATCTCACTTCCCTGTTATATGTTTCTGGCACCATTCCTTTTTTTTTTTTTTTTTTATTGAAAAAGTTTTCAAATACAAATTTTTCCCCCTTTTTCCCCCCTCTCCCTCCCCCTCCCTAACCCCCCCTCCCCACCCATCCCCCCTGTGACTTCTTCGTAACAAAAAAAAAAACCCTAATTCATAACAGATTACTTACTCCCTCTTCTAGATATTGACCTTTACTTACTAAAAATATTATTAATATTATAACATCCCCCTTTATCCATACATATCAAAAAAGAGAAAAGAAAGGAAAAAAAAAAAGACATTATACTATGACATTGTAGAATAACTTCTCCACTTTAAAACTATACGATAAGTCCTACTTTAACATTTAATCTTCTATATATATTACTATAACATTTCAAAGCGGCCTTCCCCATAAAATCTAGTTTAACATTTATTCCACTCTATCCATTTCCTCCACTCCCCCAAGTATAACACTTAAAAATCCCTTTTCTTAGACTAGTCAATCTACTAACTAGCTTATTCACCCACTATCATACAAAATTGCCATACACAACATTTCTTAACATCTTTGATTCACTGCCCACACTACTTAAAAATATATGTCTATATTTTCCATTATATCTAAATAAAAAAAAAGAAAAGACAATGACTTTAAATTTATAATCCATATAGTATCTTCTTTGAGGTCTTTCCACTGGATTGGTAGAACCAACATCCATAATCGGGTAACATAGCTCACTGGTGCAACAGTTTATTCAGGATCTTCAATCATATCTGCCCCCATCAGTAGTAAATATCTTCTTATATGTATAAAAGTAAAAACAACCACCCGAGTGACATTATAATTGTATTCCATATAGTAATAATTGTGGGTTTCATCAGGATTATTAATTCCCATCATCGTAGTGGGTAACAACACGATCTTCTGCATGCCCCAGCATAATTCTCTTGCCTTGTGATTCAAGATAATATAATATGTTTATCAACACAAAAAGAAATTCCAAAATGGATAATTCAAATCCATCAGTTTAAGGCTCGTTTCACGTCCCCAGATTACGGCCATGCAGAGATCTGCCACAAACCTCAGGATGATATTAACCAATACGTCGCCTCTTCTGTATTTACACATAATCGATCATATTTTAAAATCACTGGCTTCACTGTTGCCTGATTTAGAAATTTCTATTTCTATGCCCCCTATTTCTTTTTTTCTTTTCTTTTTGTGGGTTTGGTTTCCATCCTGGTTCCCTTTCTACAAAATATGTATCATCTGGTCGGTTTTTATTCTGCTTTGTAGATTGGTCTTGTTGGTTTTGCTTTTGTATCTCATATTTCTTTTTTATCCCTTGTATATCCCCTAACTGGTTTCCATGTTTATCGTTGCCTTGATAAGTCATCACATTAAGATTAGATGCCTCTTCTCTCAAATTTGTAGATAATCCAGCTGGGGTATCCAATAAATCCAAAGGCAATTCATCTGGTACAGTCTCTGTAATTCGAAATTTTACCTTTATTTCCGGCTCCTTCTGCTTATCCTGTATTATACCTGGAGATGTTAAATTCATTTTCAACCTATTTTGATAAAATTCTTCCGCTCTTTCAACAGTATTTAGCTGATATCTTTCTCCTTGGTATCTAAATATAATACCAACTGGGGCGTCCCACCTGTAGGAGATATTTCTCTTTTTTAACTCATTCACCAAAAAACCAAATTTCTTCCTTTCCATCAATATCTTAGGTGGGAGTTCCTTATAAATCCAAATCTTTCTTCCATACAATTGCAAATTAGAATTAAAGGAATTTTGAACGATATTATTCCTAATTTCCTTATCTGTAAAATAAATCACCACATCTCTAGGCAATTGCCTTTGCTTGGCAATCCAGGAGTTGATTCGATAAGCTCTGTCGATCCTACAAAACACTTCATCAGGTTGAACCTTTAGAATCCCAGCTAGAAATTCAGAAGATATTTTCCTTAAATCCTCTCTATTATTTTCCTGCAAACCTCTTAATCTTATCGCATATTCTGTGAAATTATATTGTACCATTAAAATCTCTTTTTCAATCTTCTGTTGCAGATTTTCTACATTACCATACTTTTGATCAGCATCCATTTTAGATTTTTCTTCTAAGCTATTATCCTGAGTGTTTGTCAAATCATTTTCAATTTTTTGAATTCTATTGTCCAATTTATCTTGAATTTCTTCCATTTTAGACTCTAGTACATTAGTATTTGTGTCCAACTGCATCATAAATCCTGTAAAACCATTAACCACTTTTGAGAGTTTTTTCTCCAAAAAATCAAACTTAGATTTCACCAATTCTTTAATTTCCTGCTTAAATTTTTCAAATTGCTGATTCACAATCTCCTCCCTTCTTTCAATCTCCTCTATAAAAAATTCTATTATATTAAAATCAGGTTTCTGAGACTGAAGAATTAAGACTTGTTCCTTTAAGTTGTTGGTGGGGGGATCCCCCCCCTTCTTGTTTATCTGACTTTATGAGTCTCAGTGCCATGTTTCCGCCCAGGCAGGCTTTGTTAAAAAAAAGCAAGAAAAAAGGACTTCTTTCCAATCAACAACAATATCAGGTCCCCAAGGGGGAAAAAAAAAAAAAAGAGAAAGACACAGGAGCGAAGTTTTGTCTACAAATGTAGCCAGTGGTATTTATTCCGCTACATTGTAGTAATAGAAAACGGAAGCCTCTCCTCCAGCCAACGCCATTTTAAAAGGCTTTTTTTTTTTCCTCCTTCCTCTCCTCCTCTCTCTTAAGTAATTTCTTTTTTTAAAAAATCAGTAAAGTACTTGCGGTTCAATATTACAGGTCCAGCTCACATTTTCTTTGAGTAGTCTGTTAAATTTGCAGGCTTGCTTTTGACGCCTGGCTCTGCATCAGCAGAGGTCTCCCAAAGCCCGGAGCGGCGGCTGGGGATACGGGGCATCTCATCCGCTCCGTCCCAAAAGTAAAAAAAAAACTTTTGGGACTCCGCAGAGAGTTCTACCCACCCCTGCCGGCTCTATCTCCGTTTCCTCATGGAAACGGAGTTTTTTCGAGCCGCCGTTCCGTTGTGAAGGCAGCTCTGACAGGCAGTGGAAGCTGACGATCCCAAAGGAACGTCTGGCAGCAACAAACAGCAAACCGGAAGTCTCTGGCACCATTCCTAATAAAAAACTCTGGTTTCAAGTCTATATGTTTCTTTATCATTTTTTCCAACCACATGTGAATTTTAGTCCAATATCTTTTTGCTTCTACGGTATCTGATGACATTTCCAACATTTCTCAGATTTGTCCTTGAACATTCTGGCTATTCTTGTTGGGGGAAGATGCCACCTGTAAAACATCTTATACAATTTTTCTTTATATGCTGTTGACATTGTCATTTTGTAATTTTGAGACCACAATTTTTGCCATTTCTCTAAATCAATTCCATAACCAAAATCCCCCCCCCCAATGTGATCATTGTTTCTTTAACTTCTTCTTCTTCCAATTTCACCTCTAGTAAATAACCATACAATTTTTTAATTACATAATCATCAGAACCTGTTAGAATTTTATCTAAATTGGTCAAAGTGTTATGAATACCTTCTATCTTGCAATCTTCATCATATCTAGCATGTATTTGCAAATAAGAAAACCAATTCATCTTAAAACCTTGTACTTCCAATTCTTGATTCGATTTAAGTTCACTCTTCATCCGTCAATTCACTATATCTAACAATTTGTTCCCTTCTAAATGTTACTGAATGTGAAAATGCTTCAATTGTTGATACCCAGAATGGGATTTTCAAATATTGTTGTTTTTTAATCTTCTCCCAATTTAATAACAAAGCCTCTCTTATGTGATGTCTTCTAAAATACCCCTGTGCTTTTCTTCCCTTATACCATAAAAAGGCATGCCACCCCAATAACAAATCATGTCCCTCTAAATTCAATAATCTAGCATTTCTTAACATAATCCATTCTTTAATCCAAATCAAACTTGTCACTTGATAGTAAAGTTCCCAATTAGGTAAACCAAAACCCCCCTCATTCTAACATCTTGTAACAATCTTGATTTTATCCTCACCTTTTTTCCCTGCCAAATATATTTTAACATTATTTTATTCAATTCTTCAAAATAATCTTTCCCCAATCTTCTGGTGGCCAACTGTTTATGATGTTACTTTCCCCACGTTCTTTTGTAATTATATTTGTATTTTGGTCTGTGACCGCAAATAAAGTTATTATTATCTTTCCCCAATCTAATTGGAATTGTCTGGAACAAATATAAAATTCTAGGGAAAATATTCATTTTGATAGTTGATAGTCCTCCCAATCAATGATAAATGTAAATTTTCCCATTTTGCCAAGTCTGCTCCGATCTGTTGCTTAAGTTTATTATAATTATTCTCTTTAAGTGTACTACATCTTGCTGTCAGATATATCCCCAAATATTTAACTTTATTTGTGACCTGCATCTTTGATATTTCCATCAGTTCTTCTTTTTGTTTTATTAGCATGTTTTTTGTCAAAATCTTCATTTTATCTTTATTAATTTTCAGACCTGCTACTTCCCCAAACTCTCCAATTTTATCTATCAATGTAGATATTGATGTTAATGCATCTTCAAGAATAAAAACCAGGTCATCTGCAAATATAAATTGCAATTTATATTCTTCCTTTCAAATTTTCATTCCTTTTATATCTTTATCTTCTCTAATACTTCTATTTAGTACTTCTAATGTTAATACAAACAGCAGAGGGGACAATGGGCAACCTTGTCTAGTACCTTTTCTTATCTCAATAGAATCAGTCAATTCTCCATTTATCATTACCTTTGCCGTTTGTTTATAATATATAGCTTCTACTGCTTGAGTAAATTTCTTGCCAAAGCCCATCTGTTCCATTTGAAGCAACATAAATCACCAGTTCATATTATCAAAAGCTTTTTGTGCGTTCAGAAAAATCAATGCCATTTGTTTTTTGGGGTGGGCCTCATAATATTCCAAAGTGTCCAAGATTATTCTCATGTTGTCTCTAATTTGTCTCTTTGGCAGAAACCCATTTTGGTCCGAATGTATGAAGTTATTTAAATATCTTTTAAGTCTTTCTGCCAGTATTGAAGCAAAAAGCTTATAATCTGAATTTAACAGGGATATGGGTCTATAATTTTTGATTTATTGCGGGTCGGTATCCTCCTTTGGGATCAATGTGGTGTATGCCTCTGACCATGACTTGGGTATTTCCTTCTTTGTCATAACTTCATTCATAACTTCTAAGAGTGGGAGGCTCAGGGATTCCTGTAGCGTCTTATAATATTCTGCTGGTAATCCATCTGGCCCTGGTGCCTTCCCATTTTTTTGTCTTTTAATTGCTTCAGTCAGTTTCATCATAGTTATATTTCCCTCTAGCATCTCCTCAATAGGGATCTGAGGTAAGTTTGCCTTTTGGAGTGGAGTACCACTTTCTCCTCCTCTATATTTTCCTGCTCGAACAAAAGTCGATAATAATCTTGAATAATTTTCCCTTTCTCCTTATCCCCAAATTTACTTTGTCCTTGGTCAGCCATTAGTTGTATTATTTTCCTTGATTCTCTCTCTTTTTTCAATTTGTAAACTAACCATCTACCTGGTTTATTACCATTCTCAAAATAATTCTGTTTAGTGCTTCTAATTTTTGGGGCTAGCTGTTCTTTCTCCATTAATTCCATTTTATGTTTTATTGTGTCCATTTTCATTTTAATATCTTGTTTTTTGTGGAGACTTCTGAAGTTCTTTTTCAAATCTCTTATAATCATCCTCTAATATTTTATTAATTTGTCTTCTCTTGATATTTCTTGTCTTTGTATAGTCCATTACCAAGCCTCTGACATAAGCCTTCATCGTGTCCCAAAGATTTTGCATTGATGTATCCTTCCTATTCTCTTTGGGAAAAAAAGCCAATTCTCTTTCCATTTTCTGACAAAGTCCTTTTCTTTCAATACAGTGTTATTTAAAGTCCATCTAGATCTTTTCCTCTGTCCTTTCCATTTCACTGTCACTGGATTATGGTCTGCCCAAGTATTTGCGTCTATCTCAATTTGTTCTATATTCAAAGTCAATTCCATTGTTGTCCATATCATATCTAATCTAGACCAAGATGAATGTCTATCAGAATAGAAAGTATATTGTCTATTTTTCCCATTTCTGTCTCTCCACACATCCTTTAAGTTTATTTCCTCTATCATCTTAAAAAAAGATTTTGGAAGTATCTTTCTGCTATGTTTTATTATTTTATGCGATTTATAGTCCAATTTCTCATCGACTATACCAGTGGTCCCCAACCCCCGGTCTGCGGACCGGTGCCGGGCCGTGGAGTACCTGGCACCGGGCCGCGCAGCGGCCGGCGGACAGGAACGCTTCAGCGCAAAGGCTCCTGGGCCGTGCGCAATGGGCCTGCGCAAAGGCTCCTGGGCCGTGCGCAATGGGCCTGCGCAAAGGCTCCTGGGCCGTGGCTCCACCCCTGCGCGCGCTCAGCGGGCCGCGGCGATAAAAAGGTTGGGGACCACTGGACTATACCATTAAAGTCTCCCGTGATTCAGACATTATCCTATTCCAATTCAATTATTTTCATATGCACTTTTCTATAGAAGTCATCTTGATTATTATTTGGAGCACATAGTGCTATTAGGATAGGATACCAACGCAAGATGAAGTTATTAAGAAAATCATGGACTGTGCAGAAATGTGCAAATTGACATTTGAAATTAGAGAACCAGAAGATAAACAATACTATATGATATGGGATTTATCAATGGCTGGATAATAAAACATGGAACTGAAATATGATATATAAAATGTATGTTATAATAAATGAAAATAATTTTGTTTTTTTCTTTGGGATAACTGTTATTGTTAGATAACAAATGAGGTTAATAATGTAAAGATACATATTGGGTTGATAATATGAGAAAATAGATAATAAGTAAAATATGAATCTGGGGATGAAGCACAAGGGAATTATAACCGATCGACACACTGTTTGTAATTGTAATGAATGATGGATTTTTTATGTTTTGTTTGTTTTAAAAATATTTTTTTTTCAAAAAAAAAAACTATGATGAAGAAAAAACCCTCTGACCAGTAAGATCTTGAAAGGTTTCCATAAAACGTGGCAAAGCCACTCCACTTAGGTCCCGTCTCTTGAAGAGCTTCCATGAGATGACACCACCTGGCATGGGAGGCCAACCACCCTGGAGACTCCAGGCTTTGCCCCAGTGGCGAAATGTAAAATTTGTTCTTACCGAATATGTGGGCGTGGCTTGGTGGGTGTGGCTTGGTGGGGTCATGTGACTGGGTGGGCTTGGCCAACTTTTTTTTTTTTTTTTACTTTTTAAAGCATTTTTTTAAATACTGGTTCAGGCAAATACGTAGTAAAAAAATGCTTTAAAAAGTAAAAAAAAAAAAAGGTTCTGAGGATCACAGCTTTTTTTACCTTTTAAAAGTATTTTTACTACCAGTTCGCCCGAACTGATAGTTTTTATTACTACCGGTTTGCCTAAACCAGAGTGAGCTGGTACCATTTCACCCCTGCTTTGCCCACTTGAAATGGGACTTCAGGCTTTGGAAATCAGAGAAAAGACACCAAAATTTCTCCTACCTTATTGAGCAACTTTAGCCGTGAAAGAGCATCTTGGTTGATAGTAAGTCTCTGTCTGTCAAAATACGCCAGAAACTCTTTCTTGGCATCCTCATTGGGGAGAACCAAGAAGATATTGATGCCCAGATCTGCCATTATCTCTCCATTTTGGTCCAAGTACAATTTAATGCTGGAAATATTCCAAAATTCATTCTTCTCCAGAAAGGGATGAAACTAGAATGGGAACATCCAGGAATTTGAAAAACAGAAAACTTTATTTCTTATCCCACATTGAATCTTTCTTCCACAATTGTCTCATCTCCAAATATAGTTAAATAGGATACAAATACTGCCATTATTTGTCCATCATATACTGACAAAGCATAGAGAAAATATCATTGATACAATTGATCAATTATAGGGAACATTCTAGAGCAGATGACAGATAAAATGAACAGAGGGGAAAAAATGGTGATTCATAAACTCTTTGAAAGCAAGAGGTTGATTCCCAGAAAGCATGGGTTGATCAAGAAGAAAGTTGTCAGGCTAATCTTCTCCCTGGTCATCCTGATGGAAAACACCTCCAGATGGAGAGTGGCTGGCTCTGGAGAATTTGGTCGCTGAAGAGGGAGCCGGGTTTAGAGAGGGGAGAGGCACTACTGATCAGGGCTTAGTTCTTCATCAACTGATGGAAAAATACGTATCAAATAGACCTGCATCATTCTACGCCTGCTTCATAGATCTCAAGGCAGCCTTTGATACGGTTCCCAGGACTAAGCTATGGGAGAAGCTGGAAGCTGCCTCAATTGACCACAGGCTTCTTCATCTCTTACCTGCCCTACATACTAAAACATCCCTCAAGGTGAGGTGTGATATGCAGGGGTCCCTCTCGAAGTCAGTTAAAACTCAAAAGGGGGTTAAACGGGGGCATTTTGGCCCCCCTGCTTTTCAACTTTTACATAACTGGCATGATAAAATGGCTAAACAAACCAAATCAGACCCTCCTCAAAAAAATAGGTGACCGAAGCATCGCCCTCCTGCTCTATGCAGATGCCCCTGTGATCCTCTCCAGGACACCAGAAGGCCTGAAAAGAGCCTTGCGAGCCCTTCTCCAGCACTGCAATTACAATCAACTGGACATAAATGATGAGAAAACAAAGATCAAAAAGGCCAAAACTTGATTCCTGGCATCTAAATGGCCACAAAATAGAGCAGGGAAGCCCCTTCAAATCCCTGGGGGTGGCCATTCAGGCCAAGGGTTCAAGAGAGATGCAGCTGCCCTGGGCCAAAGATCAGCCAGCACCATTCTTCATTGTTTCCGCACAAAGGGAGGCTACTATGTCCCTGCTGCTCTTCAGCTTTTTGTGCCCAAGTCGCTAGCACAGCTCCTTTATGGGACGTTGCTCGGACCGTCAGCTTCATGTTTTACATCATTAGAAGTAGTTCAATCCAAATTCACCAGATCAATTCTCTAGGTGCCACGTTGTGTCTCAAATGCACTTCTGCACCTGGAGACAGGATTGACAGAAGTTGAAGCAAGAATCCGTGTAGCTGCTGTGGCCCAGCAGCTTCTTATCTGTGGTAGATAAGAAGTCCCTGCAAATTGTCTGAGAGTTAAATATAATAGCAGATAACAGACAGTTTTGAAGTTTTGAAATTTAATTTTTTTGTTGGATTGCCTGTTAACTATGTTTTTTATATACAGCTGACAGATGACAAGTCAAGTGGTTGCAAATATATCGGTAGAAGTTTATAATTGTGGGCCTATTTTGCAAGGGGGAGAAATGTACATCTGTTGGTATTCAACTGGGGAACAATATATGCGTATGTGGTTTTATCTGTTTTTAGTGCACAATTTTTTTAAAAATGTTTCATCTAATTTTGTTTTGTCTTTGTAATATTTTATACTTTGTATTTTACCTTTTTGAATAAAATAAAATTTAATGAAAGGAATATCAAGTTTCCAGAAACAATATTTATCATCAGCACACACAGAAGGGTGTAGAAAAATAGTAGAAAAATATCTGATTTTTAGCAACTAGGACTTGACTAACAACAGAGTCTCATATAAGAACATGAATGATGGACTGGAAGAAAGATGAAGGACACCAAACTTGATATGTATGTTTTTGAAAATGAACTCAAAATCATAGTTAACTGGGAATAGAATCAGAGTTAGCAGAGAGATGTTCATGGAAAGAAGGTAAATGCAGCCATAAGAATCTTAGGAAGTGAATGTTGTGGTTTGGGGAGACCCCAACTCAAGGACCAGATCCCCTTGCAGGCACCACGCTTGGAGAAGAATTTGCTGTTTTAGAGCTGAGCCAGTGAAGCAGAGAAGTTCAGTCTCCACTTCATGGATTGTCTGAATGCAAAGACTGAGCAGCCATCAGTCAGAGAAGCTTTAACTGTGATTCCTGCAGAGAGGAGGGGTTGGGCTAGATGGTCTCAGGGTCTCCTCCAAATTTATGAAGGTTGTCATGCACAACATGTATCTATTGTGCTGTTGTTGCTCTAGCCCCACCTAGTGGCCGGGGGCAGATAAGCCTAACTGTATGGTCTGAAGCCAGACTCCCTTTTCTCTCAGCCTTTGGAGGAGACGGAAGCAGCCGGTTTGACCGAGACACATGGTCATCCGGAGGCCTCCGTCCCTCACACGGAGCATCCCTGGAGAGGTTCCAGCTGCTTCTTTGTTGGCTGTTAGTTAATGCTGCCTATCTCCTATTTATATTTGATTCTCACTCTTTGCATTTCCTCAGTTTCTCCGTGCCCTTTTCTCCCAATGAAACACCCAGATCCACCCCAGGCTCCCTTTCACTGGAGGAGAAGAGGGGGGTTTAGCTGCCTCTTGAGCTGCGCACAGACCCACCTGCAGTGGGGACGGAACAAAGGGGAAATTCCACCATGCTAATCACAAACCCACAAATACAAGAATTCATTTTAAAAAGAATATAGCATTTTTATTTATTTATTTATTTATTTTTACTGAAAATAAGTTTTATTACGTCAAGTAATAAATACATACAAAGAGGCAAAGTTGCAATTTAAATCCAGGGATGGGGGGAGAGAATTGTTAATACGGGGCTGAAAATTGGCTGTTTTCTGCTTGGGAGGAAATTGTGCAGTTTTTTTGGGGAGATGGTTGTGGAAAACTCATGCGAAGAAAGGGACGTTTTCAGAGATTGTTTATGGTCTGTGTGCCAAAAAAATATTAATTATGGCGCTTGAAGGGCAGATGGCAGGCAAGTTTAGAATTCTTCCAGCTTAAAAACAATTCCTGAAATGTTTGGGCTGGGAAGCAAGTTAATTTGGGGTGATTAAGGCAATTTTTCTCCCCCCAAAAAAGAGGCTTACCCTGCAAATCCTAAGTATTTACCTGGGAGCGTTGTGCAGGATTCTGGTGTTTTTGAGGATGTCCACAACTCAATGCAAAACCTACTGATGCATTGTATAGAAAAACGCCAGTAACGCAAGGGGGGAGATTTCCAAGAGGGGAACCTGTCCAGCTTTATTTCAGCCGAGGGATCTCTGGAAAGCTGCAAGGGATTCCCTCAACCGGCCCCGAACGCAGACCGGAAAACGATCTTAAGAGGATTGTGAGTCTGGAAAGCGATTGCAGAAAGTTTGAGAGGGGATGTTGGGTGCAGATGGCAAAATAAATGGGAAAGAAGCAAAGCTTTTGTTGAGCAGACTTTGGGTGGAAAAAAACCCAAAAAACAGCCCTCTGAACAATTTCCATTCTTCCAAGGGGTGGGGGTTTTTTTCTCTTTTTTAATGGACCGATCCAGGATGGCATTTTCAAATTAGCAGAGTTTAATATTAAAATGCCATGGTATCTACTCTTTGGAACCATTATTCCCTGAGTAATTGAATTGGCCATATCTGCTGAGTTGGTTCCCCTCCTTCTCCTCTGGATTCCTCCTCCAAAGGATCTAAGATTAATGGATCCATATCGGGACCCCCATACCTGCCACGGCTGCAGCCTTGGAGACCCCAAGATCTTTTCTCCCTCCTTCCTTCTCTTCCTCGATCTGGAGGAATAAGCGGCATTCAAGGCCTGGGCCAGAGTCTGAATGAAACTGTAATCATGGTAGTGATTTGGGATCCTTTTTCTGTTCCTTTTCTCCTGGGTCTCCAGTGGGGCTTTCTGGGTGCATCTTCTGCGGCCTTTGACAGAAAAGACGTTTTTTGAAAGAGAACAGAGAAAATAAGGATCTTGAAACTTTTCTTCCACAAAGAAATGGGGTTCAAAGGCAGAATCAATTGGCCTTTCTTTTCCCAGATAACCAAAGTTCAAAATACTATGGATGTATTTGAAAAGTCTATGCTTGTTCATTGTATACCCTACAAAACTTGTGAGGATCCAGACTTTCCCTTCAATGGGTCCTGGGAGACGCATAAATGTTTCATGGAAAGGAAGAATTCTGTCCAAAAGGGAATCAAGTTCCATGAAGTGAACAAAGACGTTGACTTGTCTCCACTTAGAGAGGGAATCCCTGAGGGAAGCTGTATATCCAGTTGTTGAGAACAGTTGTGATATAACCACACAAATTCCACTCCTGACAAGCATAGGAGGAAAAATCCTCATGAAATTCTCTCCCTTCTCTGTGTCTGAAGCAAAGAGGCCAATCAGGGTCCATCTGAAATGGAGGAGCAGCTGGACAATTGCTGGGTTCTGGATCCCTTCTTTGTTGAGCATCTGGTGGAAAAAGGGGAATTGACTTTTATCACTCAGAGCCTCTGAAACAATTGTACGACTGATCTGAAAAAGCAATGAAGAATGCTGTGTTATGTTTGGGGTCAGATCAAATCCAAAACATTATCCAATCTGATCCTCATGAATGTATTAGAATAGTTTGTTAATTAGACATTGTTTAAAATATTAAAGACAGAATATTAGCAAGATTGAATTATAACAATGGAAAATAATAAACAAATTAAAAAAACAATAAAAATGTAAATCATATTACTGTATCCCATTCATACAATTTATCACAATTAGATTAACACGTGCAAATGCCAACTGGAGTATTCTATTCCAATAAAGGGCCTATTATAATTTTATAATTTTCGAGGATTGCTGCATCTGTTTTTGCTTCTATATCCCAGATTCTTTCTGGAGGAAATTTTTTAACTTCTTTCTCCAGTTATACAAGAAACAGGCAGACCTCAAAGCCTAATAAGATTTGTCAGTTGCATAATCCAAGTTTGGTCTTTCATTGAAGTTTTGTCTGTTCCAACAGCCACAATTTTCAGAGTCTGTCAGTTTCCATAGATTAAATTTTATGCCAATGCCCATATTTTCTGAATTTAGACAAAGCAGAAATGTGTAAATTCCCAAATCAGCTCTGAGGGCAGCAGCTGGAGTCCTTTTACCCACCCCAAGATCCTCCTCAGAGGCTGAGATTGGGTTGGTTCTGCTGGTGGTTTCTCTCTGAAGCCCCAAACATCAGATTGATGTAAGAACATGGGGGAAAACTGGGCCTCCGATACTTTAATGATTTGGGGCTGAGGAAGCTGGAGAGCTAAGAGGTTTTCATTTAAGCACCACTTTCACTCCTGCCCTTTCTCTAACTGAGCTCCTTGGATGATGAGGGAGCCAAGATTCAGGCTCAGAGAAAACGACCCCAGGTAAGGAAAGGTGTTACTTGCTCTAATGGCTGACCATCTAAAATTGCTTTATAAATTATCAGATAATTATTATGACAAAACAATCCAAGTCTTCTTCACAGGGTATACAATTCAATGTGTAAATAGGATAATATCACATTATCAGTGTAAACCAGGATATTCCAATAGAATTTAGCAGGCCAAACATGTGTACCTTATAACATAATAAAAGGGTTAGAAGGGACCTTGGAGGTCTTCTAGTCTGACCCCCTGTTCAAGCAGGAAACCAGGCATAATAGCAGTAACTGTGAGAGGGATCCTGGAGTCTCAGTGGACAACCAATTAAATATGAGACAAGACTGTGCAGCGGCAGCCAAAAAACCAATGCAATCCTAAATCGCATTAACAGAGAGATACAATCAAGATCAAGAGAGGTACTAATACCACCCTATAAAGCCTTAGTAAGACCACACCTAGAATCCTGCATCCCGTTTTGGTCACCACACTATAAAAAATATGTTGAGACTCTAGAAAAAGTGCAGAGAAGAGCAACCAGGATGATGAGGGGACTGGAGGCTAAAACATACAATGAACGGTTGCAGGAACTGGGCATCGCTGGTCTAGTGAAGAGAAGGACCAGGGGAGACAGGATAGCAGTCTTCCAATATTTGAGGGGCTGCCACAGAGAGGAGGGGGTCAAGCTGTTTTCAAAAGCACACAAAGGCCGGACAAAGGCCGGACAAGGAATAATGGATGGAAAGTGAACAAGGAGAGATTCAAGCTGGAAATAAGGAGAAATTTTCTGACAGTGAGAGCAATCAACCCATGAACAGAAGTTGCCTTCATAAATTGTGGGAGCTTCATCATTGGAGGCTTTGAAGAAAAGACTGGACTGCCATCTGTCAGAAATGGTGTAGGTAGTTTAGTTTAGTTTAGTTTTATTGAATTTATATACCGTACTACTCCCGAAGGACTCAGGGCGGTGAACAGCCATAGAATAAAACATATAGATACAAAATTTAAAATAAGATACAACATAATTCTGCATAATCAGTATGTGTCGGTTCTAACAATAATTTCATGTTTTTAGTGTGTTTTAGGTATTTCAATAATTTCTTAACACATGTCCAATGAAATTGTTTTGCCTTACCTATGTGTCGAGACAAGAGATTAACACTAAGTGCAATGTCGGGTCTAGTCCAACTACTAATATACAACAGTGACCCAATAACTGAACGATAAAGTGTTTGATCCTCGAACTCAGGACTTGGTTCATGTGTCAAGTTGTGGAAATCTGTTTGCATGGGTATGCATGTTGTATTAGCATCTTTCATGTTGCAATGATGTAAAATTTGTTCAATTTTATCCTCTTGTGAAAGACTAAACCCCTTCTGGGTTTTGTCAATCTGAACACCTAAATAAGTGCTAACATGACCTAAAGATTTCAATGTGAAATATCTCTGCAAAGCTTTAGCAAAATTCTCACTCATCTGCTTATTTGGACCAATATAAACAATATGATCAACATAAACAAGAACTATCTCATACATATTATCAGATCTTTTTGTAAACACGCATTCATCAGTTTCGGACTTAATAAAGCCCATTGAATTTAGTTTGTCAGTAAGACATAAGTACCACATTAAACCAGACTGTTTCAGACCATAAAGACTTTTGTGTAGACACCAGGTATCCCCTTCTTGCTGTCGGAACCCTGGAGGACCTCTCACATAGATCTCTTCATCCAGGTCAGCATGTAGATAAGCCGTGTCAACATCGAACTGGAAAATTTCTAAAGATAGTGGCAGTGGCTAAAGCAATTTTTACACTCTCAGTCTGGACTGTTGGTGAGTAGGTATTTGTGTAGTTCTCAGGATAACGTTGAGCGAAACCCTGAGCTACAAGTCTGGCTTTGTACAATGACTCACCATTTGGCTTCTTCTTGATTCTGTAGACCCATTGAGTGCCAATGATTTTTTTGTTTGCTGGAGGTTTTGCAGGTGTAAACACCTTAAGTTTCTTTAGACTGTCCATTTCAACCTGCATTGCCTCATACCATTTGTCTTGCTCTGAGTCAGGAAGATGCTTGATTTGTGTGAACTTATCAGGAGGAAGTGTAACATTGCAAATCAAAGGCAAGGGTGCTTTTGTCAGTTGCCACAAATATCACTGTGGAGGGATCCCCTTTGTGTCCCTCTTGGAATGCCTAGGAACAACTGTCCATTCTTCTTCCATTTCGTCCTCGTCTTATCACCGTTGCTAGTGTCAGCATCGGCGGCTTGTGAAGACGGAACATCAGGTTGAGAAGAACTAGTGGCTGGAACATTTGCATGTGGATCTTGGTCATCAGACTGCGAGGCATCAGCAGTATCATCTCTAGGAAAATAAACTCCAGGATCGTTGGAGTGAATCCTGGACCAGTCAGCATCTTCCTCAAAATTAGCAGATTGGGAAATCACAATTACATGTTTGGAGTCAATAAATTTGCTCCATTTTGAATTATCATCAATACCCATAAATCTCAACCTCTTTGCTGCTGGACCTCCTTTCCTTCTTTGAGCTAAGGGAATGTTCACCATAGCGTATGAACCAAAAATATGTAAGTTTTTGAGATTGGGCTTGTACCCATACAACGTGAAGAAAGGAGTCTGATTTACTCCAAGTATGGTTGTAATTTGCATATTTAATAGCTTCACCCCAGTATGGGTTACTGAGGTTGGCATCTTCTAGGAGACAACGCATCATGGTTTGTCACCTTTCTACCACCCCATTGTGAGCCAGTGTGTAAGGGGCCGAGATCTGATGAAGAATTCCATTCTTACGCATCCAGTCCTGGAACCGCTGAGACATGAATTCAGCACCAAGATCACTTTGAATTCTGGCAATGCTTACTCCGTGTTGGATATAAACAAAAGTGGCAAAGTCTTTAAAGATCTGAAAGGTCTCAGATTGTTCTTTCATAGGATATACATATCCATATCTAGAGTAATTATCAACAATTGTTAAAAAATATTTTTTACCACCAAATGATGGCGGGAAAGGACCAACTATGTCAGTGTGAACCAAATCAAAAATGCGTGTTGACAGGCGTGTAGCATGTTTTGGAATGGCTGCTGCTTTGGATTTGGCCTTTTTGCAGACAGCACAATCCAAAAACACCTTACACCCCTTTAGATCCAAACCTTTTGTGAACTCTGGCATTTTCCTAAGAACACGGAAACTGGCATGCCCCAATCTTCTATGCCACTAATGGATACATCTGTAATGCAAAGGTTTACCAGTGAATTTTCAACATTAACATTTTTATGAGGAACCTCAGGCTTGCTCTGAGCAACCTGTTTCCTAATTTTCTTTTTGTTGGCTTTAGGAGCCTTTGGCATAGCAACAAAGGTTCTCTCTGGAACATCTCTCTCTGGGCCTGTGCTCTCCTCTTTTGGAGTTTGTACACTTGCCTGTGCTTGCGGTTTAGACTTTGGCTTTATGTAATAAACACCACCAATTAACATGGTTTCAGCAACAATATCTTCATTTTTAACTATATAACTTGCTTTTTTGAGGTGGTGGACCTGGAACTTCAATACTCTAGACAAGTGACTCTGACTAAGCAAACTACTATTTGCTATTGGTACATAATAAACATCAGGAATGAATGCATCGAGCTCTTTAACATAAACAGTTCCTTTTTTCGACCTGACAAGGATGAAAAAGAATAAAGTTCATGTAGTTCAGGTTCAGGCTTGTGCATCTCTGTAAAAAGTTCCTTTCTGTAGGTAACATGCAATGCTGCGCCACTATCCAAAGTCCACAGAGGTTGTCTGTCGTATTCTGGATGAGGTTGTGGATCATTGGTTAAAGCCAATGTGGCGAGTGGAGCTTGCGGATAATGCCTGGGACCACAACGACCTTGTCTTCTGCCTCTGCCTCTGCCTCCTCTGGAGTCTGTTCCTCTGGGCTGGTATGTGACGGGAGCTGGAAATCGTTGGGGACAATCCTGGGTGGCATGTCCCACATGATTACAGATGTAGCATCTTGGCATCCTTGGAACGTAGGCTCTTCCTCAGAAGGGCCACCTCGCTGGAGCTCTTGATG